AGAGACGCATGACCCTAAAATAAGCGAAGAATTCTTTCGAAAGCTTGAACGTTTGTTTTTGTTTTACAGAAAAGCACCGTACTGTATTGAACCAAATCCTACGTCAATCCACTGTTCACCTGGCTGATGGTCCGTTCGCGGTGTTAGTTGATCATACACGAGTGCTCGACTTTGACGTCAAACGTCGTTTCTTCCGTCAAGAGCTCGAACGACTCGACGAAGGAATCCGACGAGACGACCTTACGATCCACGTCCGACGCGAACACGTGTTCGAAGACTCGTACCGAGAGCTCCACCGGCGAAGCGCAGAGGAGATGAAGAGCCGACTGTATGTCGTGTTCGAAGGCGAAGAGGGACAAGATGCGGGAGGACTTCTGAGAGAATGGTTCGTCATCATGTCCCGGGAGATGTTCAACCCTAATTATGCCCTCTTCACCACCTCCCCAGGGGACAGAGTAACGTATCAACCCAACGCAAGCTCCAACTGTAACTCCAACCACCTGAGTTACTTTAAATTCGTCGGCAGGATCGTGGCGAAGGCGATTTACGACAACAAGCTGTTAGATTGTTTCTTCACGCGCTCCTTTTACAAGCACATCCTGGACAAAGCTGTGCACTTCACGGACTTGGAGTCGTTCGACTACGCTTTGTATCAGGGTCTGCATTACTTGTTGGAACACGACATCAGTGATATCGACATGGAACTCACGTTTAGCACTGAGGTAACACTCGTATTATAGAGTGCTTTTTAAAGCAATTTTTAGATCACAACGATGATCACAACGTCCAATCAGAAAACAGGTTAACGTCACAACAAGCCAACGAGAACTGTTAAGATGGTTAACCGGTCTGAAGCGAGGGAAAACCCCAGGGATTAGGTAGCAAATGTTTTACCTTTGCATCTAATTGGTTCAGAGAATGGTGCGAGTTTCCTAATCCAATTACGAAGCGAAGTGACCAAGTGGTGTACCTTTGCATCTGAATTGTTTTGAATGTGGTGCAAATTTTCTGGAGCAATCATCAAACGAATCGAAGTAAAACCGATGCAACCCCATATTTCTTTCGACTCGCATTCATGAATTACTTCATAACCTCAATATGTTTTCCAGGTTCACGAATTCGGTTTGTCAGAAGTCCGCGAATTGGTAAAAAATGGCAAGAACATCGCTGTAACGGAAGAAAACAAGAAAGAGTACGTACAAAGAGTGTGCCAGATGAAAATGACCGGAGCAATCAGGAACCAGCTTGACTCCTTTCTGGAAGGTTTTTACGACATCATTCCCAAACGTCTGATTTCCATCTTCGACGAACAGGAACTAGAGTTGTTGATCTCTGGGCTTCCAAACATTGACTTGGATGACTTGAAAGCGAACACTGAATACCACAAATACACGGAGAACTCATTACAGGTACGAAATGCAAAGTACTGACTATCTTGTGCTTGATGTCTCTAAAGTAGAGTTTCATCGTAAAACCTCCGTCTCTGTAACCCCCTTGAAAGGAGACACTTTCTGATCCCGAGTGAGTCCCCTTAGTGGAGGTTCATTGTACAACCTCGGCATCTCTGACCCTCACCTAATGGACACCTCATGTGGGACACTTTTTCTAGTCTCGAGTCTGACCCCTTTGTCTACGTTCATTGTTTAACTTCTGAGTTTGTGGCTTATACCGATGGGATCTCCAATTCCCGGAGTAAAACCTTTGATAACAGATTTCTTCGATACTCTGTTGCAGATCCAATGGTTTTGGAGAGCCTTGCGTTCCTTTGACCAGGCGGACCGAGCAAAATTCCTTCAGTTTGTCACAGGGACAAGCAAAGTTCCTTTACAGGGATTTGGTGCCTTGGAGGGGATGAATGGATTCCAAAAGTTCCAGATTCATCGCGACGATCGGTCCACGGACAGGTTGCCCTCTGCGCACACATGGTGAGCTTTTTTTCCGTTCCATTTTCTATGACAGTGTATTTCAGGAGGAGGTATTGTTCTATGCTGCCGTTAGTAGCAGCGAACGATAAGAATTCTTTAGAGGTTGTTGTCGATGTTTCGTAGATGTAATAATACAAAAACATAAATGTTGTATACTTCCAGTAGGTTGACTGTATGTTTCCGTTCTATACGGAACACTGTACACACATTGTACGGTTAGTTTTAGCCTGCTGTACAGGTGTCTTGTAAGGAAGGGCGAGATACCGTGGCGATTTCGCGATTGTTCACTAAGACAACACGTTTTCATAAGGATAGGTGGATCGATAAGGGAGGGGCGGGTAAATACTTTTTCTTGCCCCCTCCCTTCTCCCCTTCTCAGACCTGTTTTTCATCTTCCCCCTTCCCTCTTCCCCTAAAGGAAAAAAAAAACCCTTATTAAAGATTTTATGGTGGTTGTTGATTGTTTATCTTAGCTTTAACCAGCTGGATCTCCCAGCTTATGAGACGTACGACAAGCTACGGTCCATGCTCAACAAGGCGGTAGACGAGTGCCCTGAAGGATTTGGTTTGGCGTAAAACGTACACAAACAACAGACTTAAAGGCTGACATTTTGAAACATGAACAGGACGATACACTGTCGAGTTAGGGTTGAGTGTTGCACCTTGAGTCGGTGGACTTGAAGTGAAAACTATACCGAACATTGAACTCTGCGGACAAGAAGAGGAAAAAAGACAAATCTAAAGTATTGGAGGTGTTTAAGAATGAATCGCTGGATCGTTTACGGCCTTCATGTGGGAAGTATTGTACAGGGATGATTTTTCCTCTCTTCGGGCGAAGAAGAATTTTATAATTTCCCTTTGAAGCAGTGCGTGACAAGAGTATTGTAGCAGAAGGTTGTTGTTACGCAAGAATATTTCGTCTTAAGACGACGCGTAAACCAAGAACTACATGCGTTGATATACAAAGAACTTTGATACTTACTGATGTAGTCTGCTTGGCGATAAAATATTGCTTTTCTTTTCGTATCTAAATGGTAAAGAGATGAGAACACAAACTTCTTATTTGGAGTTTGGTGAAACTGTTTAAGGCTTTATCTGAGAGTGCGTGACCGTTATTGGAGTGACAAAGGTGTCACGTAAAAGTCACGTTGAAAAGACATTCTTGAACATTTTGATTGAAATAGTTACCAATCCACGCCAAACTGACGCGTTTATTTAGAAAAGATTTTGAAACAATAAAGCGGTTTCTATTTCCAAGTTAGCTATCGATTATTCTTTCCTAATTCTGTGATATTTTTCCTGAACTATGCCTGTTGCAAATTGCTGTAAAGGCGGAGAATTTTGCCTTCATTTCTTGTACGAAAACTGAAACAGAAATCCTTTAGCTTTTGCGACATTTCAGCTATTTCTGTTATTGAACTAGTTCGGAGATTTTGATATAAGATATAATTGCTTTTTCTCTGGTGATTACGTCCTAGATTCTCATAACCTTTCATTGTGAGCTTTATATTAATTCTCTGACTCCTAAGAATGACGTGCATCCTAAGTATCCTTCGATTATCACCTCTGAATCACACATTAAGGTTACAGGAATAAAAGAAATGATCAACTTCTAAAGAAGCTCTTGATTGTTGAACAAATCCTCCTTGCAAGCACCTTAGCAAATGTACAGAGAACTGTATGGGTTTAATCGGCTGGGAGAATGAGAGATCCATGTTTTCTAAAAATCAAAAATATTGGCCTCAATGTTCGTAAACGAACTAACTAATTACTAGGTATCTTTTCAGTCGAATAGATGTAGTTTTTTGGGTTGAGAATATTTACAAGCGTTTGCCAGGTTGATTGTATAGCCCTCATCGTGAATTATGCAGGTGTCTTCGATATTGGCAATGTCTGTGTAGGTACGTATTGTCTGAGTGGGAGGACCGGACGGGAAATTATTTGCCCAAAGTCTTGTTTACTCTTGATGCTGTACTTCATGACCTTGAGCGAAATATTTTCTCGTGTGGCCAGACTTCACTTAGTCGAGGAGCATTTTATCGTATGGCCGTGTCTTTCTCTTTACTTCTTTTTCCTCGTGGTGCCGTAGACAGGACCGTGGTACCGTTTTCTGGCCCTACCAGCGCCATCGCGTGTGAGCTTCGGAAAAAAAAAAAAACCCGCCGGACGCCGAACGATTCATATGATAAAGATGTTTTATGTGGAAGTGGATTTTGTTATCCATTAAGGTTATGGGCTCGATACGAGAAAATGTCCTGAAACACAAACGAGATCCATAATTTCAAAAAAAAAAATTCTCATAACAAATTTCAGATCGAACACGCTAATTGCTTTAAAACATTTATTTGCTTCCAAGTGCTAATTTCGAACTTGAATGAAAGATGGTAATCGTTTGGCAGGTTCTTTCAATTATAACTTCAAGAGACACTAGCGATATATTAAACCAACCTTTTTCGTTTTAGTCGTTGTGTTGTCAGCTACGATCATTAAATGTTTTATTTTCGCAACTTTTCCTTTTTAGTGTTGTACGTAATATCGATTGCGCAAAATTGTTCTTTAAATTTTGTCGTTCAAATTTGGGTCAAGCTGGCCACAACGTCGGATATATTTTTCATTCAGTTTTAAATTTGTTCCTTTTCCACCTTCACAATTTCTGAATACATGACTGAAATTTCTGTTAATTGTTGCATAAATTACGTCAACGCAATATTGGCACGGACTTTTTTTTTATTAAACCTCTCCAATATCTTCAGCATGTTGGTTAAATAACTTCCTTATTATTTAAGATCCAAAGAAAAAGTTTATTTTCGGAACCCAACGGAGTTTTTTTCAATTTTTTTTTACCTCTGGGGGCATTTAGCTTCACAAACGATTTACATTAGCATTACGATCTCGCAAACAAATGGGTTATTTGTTTACTACCTGCCGTTTGCTAAAACTCTACTTATTAAAGTCCTTAGAAAAAAAATTCAGAACCTTGATCATGCGATTTTTGTTCGATCACAATCGCAGCGCCGAGGGCTTCCATAAACTCTAAACCATTTCAGACATCAATTTCACCTGTCACTTACACGACAGCCCGAAATAAATCAAATGAATAATTGATAACTTTTCGAGGGCTTTCCCATGGAAACGGCTTGGCAGATGTTGTAGTATCAAATGATAATAGTAGCTTAACCATGGCTAGCCATGAAACCTTTGTACCGTTACAGCAAGAACCTAAATTCAGAGTCCGGCGACCGAGCCTCAGATCGAGAACAGACGATGGAACACATGATCGGAAAAAAGAAGATCTGCTGGCGCTGCCACCCGTTCGAGGTAAGCGGCCTTTTCGTGTTTAGTGTTTATTTTTACGCTTGTAAAGCTGACCTGACTTCTTTGCGTATTTACACCGGATTCAACCTTTTGCTATAAACTTATATTCTTTGTTATAAAGCGCATTTTTAATGCGAAAGCCGCTTGAAATATTGTTTTCTTTGCGAACTTTAAGCATTCATTTTGCGACAAAAAACTTGATAAAGTATGTAACTGACTTGTAATTTTCTTCAATCGCCGATAAAGCGATAACATATATTTCGTTCCAGGAATCGCTAAAATTGAATTTTTTGTTTCTATTTTTAACGGACAATTTTATTTATATATATATATATTTTTTTTTTTTTTTCACGGCTGCATTTCTTCCATCAGTTACTAACTACTAGCAAGCAGTTACATAAATCATTAACATATTCTCGAGTAAGAGTGTGTAAAATAGTGCCTCGTTGTGCATATTAACTACGGTAGAGGAAATTCGAAAAATTAAAGTTATCTCATTAGGAAGGTGAAAGGTACTCAAATAATTGCTGACACTGTTAAAAAAGATATTGGCATTATAATTTATTATGAAGCAAATGTACACCTCATAGATCTATGCATTTCCGAATTTCCGTCAGAGATATTTTAACTTCTTATTGCTCAAATCTTTTGGCGTTCTTAGATTTCCTGGATTCCGTTTTGCTCAAAATTTGACAGAAAAAATTTACGAATTTTCTGAAAATCCATTATCGCAACTTGCGTGTTTGCTTTAATAATACGAAACCCAAATTTGGAAGCAATGGCAGGGCAGCTTTCAAAGGTAATTTTGAATCCCAAATACATTCTGTTGTTATGTAAAAGATGAAAGTACATTTGCTTTGTTGAATCAACTTCTAAATGTACTTTTTCAGAAATTCGACTCCCTCATTTTGTACAAATCTTTTTTGAATTCAAAAGGCGCCCTGTTTAATCAGCTTGTGAAAAATTTTGGTCGATGCTGTACGGCTTCTCGCTGCATGACAACTGTGCAGTGCTTTGACTTATTTGTATATATATATAAATCGTTAGTTTTATTTCGTTGCTTTGATATTCCAGATTGTTATTGATTCCATACCTTTCTACGGATGTTTCTCAGTCGGGTAGATTTGCTTGTTTTTGTTTCTGAGATCATTCTGTTGTATTTTTATGAATAATTTTTCGCCCACTCTAAAACACATATAATAAAAGGCCTCTGAAAGCAAAAGTAAAATCATTTAAAAAATCGCGCTTTTCATTTCGACTCACTTTTTCATGACGTCAATCCTTTGCACCCTAACAGGAACCCATTATGATGATAGGCTTCTGACCCTAGCATCAGTATGTATATTCTCCATACTTTCTCTACACATTTCTTAAGGTTCTGCACAGGAGAATTTGTTCAACAATTGAAAGCTTCTTTAGTCGTTGATCATTTCCCTTATTCTCGTGACCTTAATGTTTGATTCAGGGGTGATATTGTGGGGAGAAATTAGATGCCAGTCACTCTTAGGGGTTCTTGAAAGGGCCAGAAAATCTCCTCAGATATGACCCTTTCAATCCTTCGATTATAATACTTATTATATCCATTTTGAAACTGACTGGCGATCAGTACGATCTGGTTGGCTCTCAGCGGTGTAATTTATTCACGAATCGTACTATTTTTTAGCTCTAAATCACATGTTGATGCGTTTTTTTTAAGATAAAGCATTGATAATTGGTTGTAACTCTCAAGGTAAAGGAGATTTTGACGAGTACAGGGTGGAGCCCGTCAATGATGACTTTGTTTTGAAGCGTATATTATATTTCCGAAGCTCTATTATTTAGAAAAAATATTTTTGCACTTGCTCGATTCGGAGAAAGATCTGGAATCGACTTACTTTTCGCGCTAAATTTGGAAGCAGAGCATCGACCAATCAAAGAGACTGCGCAGATTCCGTCATGATACGTCATCACACTGGAATGTTACGCTGAATCCCCAGCTACGAGACAGATTTTGAAGGTTTGAAGAGAAATTCCAGCTTTTTAAAAGCTTTCAAAATACTTTGTTTTTCAGCTCTTGCAACAACCAGCCAAGAAAATCAGACAGACGGACTACAAACTCCATTCAACAAATGGCAAATCCATCGCTGTGCTACTCCCAACACCACCCCCTGTCAGGAGGTATTAGTGAACGAGTGGTTACACAGGAATCACATCCAAGTAGTGGACAGGCTTCCTAAAATGGACCCCGTAGTACTGGTAAGGTGATGTATTATTAAGAAAAGCGTTGCATCATCTGTTTACTCAAATCGTAGAGTTTTTCTGTCAGTTTATGATGTGACTGTCGGGATTGGTTTCAACGATGTAGCAAGGAGCGTAAGTGGAAGATAAAGCCATGGTCAGGGAAACGAAATGGATTTGAAAAATGAAAAATAGAATGCATGTCTTAAACGCCGCTTTGCGATAATGTCGCGTTACGTTTCTAGAACACATTTGCCACCCCTTACATTACCTCAAAAGCAGGTTTCAGGGCGTGTAGGCTGAGGGCGCCTTGAATTAGAGGAGATGGCACCTAGCTCGCTCAAACAACCTACTTAATTCGAGTGTCTTTACTCAAGCTTATCAACTCATCGTTCTTTTACCTTTTTTCTTTTTTTTCTTTCTTTTTTTTTTTTTGCAGACAAGCCGCGGCACAGACGTTTCAAAGTATATCAGTTTCATTCACCCACCACCTTTCAGCCTAAAACTCCTCTCCGGATCAACAGAGGAGCAAAAATATCGCGAAAAGAGGAACAAACTGGTAAGTCATAAGGGTTGTGTTTATTTTCGGGCGACATTAAATCGTATGGTGGGAGAGACAAACAACAGAAGACTAAAGGAAAATTAAAAAAACAACAACAACGTACGGTTGAAGATGCATAGTTTTAAATTTTAACCATATGGGGTTGTGTTATCTCGAAGGACAATCAACCTGATGAATAGCAGATACGGGAGGGGGGGTATGGATTCCCCCTCCCCCTCCGCCCTCCCCCTCTATTAGATCTGTTGGTATTTGGTCATTTCTCTTACATCAACATTCTTGCAACACAATCGCATGTTACTTCTCAAAATGAAGCATTTAAATTATAATTGTCTTGATTTTTTATAGCTTATTTTGGCTAGCGTGTTAATGAAAAAAGAGGGAATTATATCTGTTTTGTGAGTCAAAGTTTGGACCCTCCTTTCGAATATCGTTGGATCCACCCCAGCTGATGTATATTATTTCTCTAGGCCCAGGCTCCCTCATCAACATCTGGTTCGCCTTGTCCTCGCCTCCTCAGGAATCAGAGATCTGACAGGGTAAGTGTTAAAACCTGTAAAACAAGTTTGATCTCCTGAGAAAGAAGTTGTAAAAAGAACCTACATAACTTGTAAATTATTTTCCTCAGAAAAATTCATGATTGTCAGAAGGGCTTTCATGTTGTTAAAATTATTTAAGCTAAATCTTTCCTCCCACGTTGTATCTTTTTTGTTTTAGGAAACGTTCGCTTTAAATCCTGTCATACGAGTCGGCGGAGGGTATCGCAGGCTCAGCTGGAAGGTAAAGGGATTTACGTCATTACTAAGTGAAATATTTTTGCGCGTAATTTTTCATCGTCACAAAGTCACGTAGCTAACGAGATAGTTTTCCTCCCTTCACCACCACCCTTCCTCCGGATAATTTTTTTCCCTTTTCCCTTCTCCCACCCTCCCACTGAATGGTTTTGTCTCCTTCCTCCTCCCCCTTCCCTCTTAATTCCCACCCTCCAGTACTTAAATTTCTAACTCTCGTGGCCCACCCTCTATTTTTTCATTTTCAGTCCTGAAAATTTGTTTCAAGAAGACCACAGTCCATCTTGATACCTTCTCTTATACTTACTTTAAAAAATTTGATTTTAATGGATTTTAGAGAGAAGTGCTCTGAAAAGGAATAAGGCAGTCAATTATTTTCGTGATACAGTAAAAATCGATTGAGTGCTGTAAAATCTAACTAATCAAAACGGCCAATTAGAGAATAGTTAGATATCGCAAGGAGCCTGAGCTATCTAAGACGGGAAAAAGGTAAGTTATAATTAGTGTTTGTTAAGGGTGGAGGGTGACAGAGCAAAGGTAACATAACTACAGACAATTCTCAGTACTCATCTGCAAATTCATGTAAAGCTGTTTGCGCGTGGTAGGTTTTGGATGTTCTACCCTCTATTGGACAGTATGACCCAGATGTAGATCCAGTGTACAGTTGCGCCTCATGTCACGCAAACTTGCAAGTGGTAGGGAAGGTCACGAATTCTCGCGGACGAGTTCATTCGATCTTCACTACACCTAAACAATGCCACAAATGCGGGGCTCCCACAACAGACTCTCAAATACACACGGAAAAAGACTTACATGAAAGTGTTATAGACACCCTTCATCGAGGAGATTCAAGGTTTATTGTGGACCATAGACGTTTTAAAAAATCGGGCGTCGAGCAGCCTTCATCAAGAGTTAACCCGGAAGATTTGCATTTCAATTCGCCGATGGATTGGAGAGATGACCTGGAATCTTTTCGCCTTCACATGAGCAGGCAGAGTCAAACAGAAGACGACTTGGAGACTACAACCCAGCGTTATGAGCGGAATCGCTCGGAATCAGGTAGCAGTAGTGTATTCATGACAGAGCCTGGGGCGAACATTGATAACTTAAACGAACCCCCTGATATACGCCGTGCGTGGGATGATGGAGTTACACGTGCGACGATTTTGAGAGATGATGAGAATGATAATGGAGAATGGGAAAAAGGAAAGGAAAACGGCGAAAGAAATGGAAAAGAAAACAGGAGCTCAGCTACTGATAATGATCTAGACGCTTATAGCGATTTTGAAATGATAGAAGATTATGATCCGAAGTCAGGATTTACCGTAAGACTTCGGAGAAAACCATTTGGTGGAGGTAGAAAGACAAGTTATTTCATTCGCGGGATTCGAGACGAAGAGGGTTCGAGTGAAAGGTCTCTCGACAAGGGCGGAAAATCGCACGAACATGGAAGGAAAAAAGCACACCACAACAAACAAGAAATTCAAACTGACACTCAGATCAACAAGAGTACACCAAATAAAAGAAATAAACAAGCCTTGGCCCAGAAGAAAAGAGGGAAAGGTTTTTCACATAACTTGAACGAGAGTGAAAGACGACTGGAAAATGAAACAAATCAAACAGCCAAATACGACGAGAATCCTCTTTTGAGGAAAAACTCATCTTCCGGCGAACAACGACGAGATGAAACGAATCAAAGAACCAGACACCATAAGAATCCTCTTTCAAGAACGGATTCGTTCTTCGTCGTTGGCTTGGATCAACGAGACAAAGTGTTTAGCACTACTCCTGTTGCTGAAGAGTTATCGGATGACGAAGATGATGATGATGACGTCATCATTTTCACCAAAACGAGGTTTAGTGAAGATTCCCTGTCAGACCTTGAGTTCAAAGAGGACGACGCCTGGAGCCCGGATTCTCCGGGTTCTGGACTTTTCAGACCTAAAATACCATCCCCTGGTAATTTTGGAAATCAGGTAACTGAGCATATGTAGACGAAATTAGGTTATTGAAACATACATTTTACGCAAGAGAATATAATCTCTAGAATTATGTTACTTCGTGTTTTACAAGCGCTTTTTAACCTAACTTTTTCCAGGCATTTAATAATTTAAAGTAAGTGGAAGCAATAGTTCGGTAGAGCGGACTCAAGAGGGCAAAAGGGCAAAACTGAACACTTCTGTCCGGAAATGGTCATACGCGTCCGAATTGGAACAATACTGTCTTAACTGAAATAAGCTTGAGTGTCCGAATTCGGGGACTACCGCCCGAAAATTAACACAGATGTTCAAAATTTGACGGTCTCGTCCGGAAATGGACATAAATATCAGAAATCGGGTGGTACCGTCCGAAATTTGACGCAAGTGTTCAAAATTGGACGGTAGCGTCCGAGAATGGACAAAAGTGTCCAAAATTTAACACGTTTGTTTGCGGAACATGCCTGACGGCAACTGCTCGAGGCACATGTTAAAGCGTTACGATTAAAGTTTGTTTATTTGAGATTTTGCCTATTTATTTTTATTAGGATGACATGAATCGCCCTTCGTCCTGGTCCGTTTCGCCCACGCAGCGTGATGGGTACCTTGCTGACAGTGAGGAGAACGTCGACCTGTCTTCACTGCAGGCTCAGATTCAACAAGCGCGGAATAACGCTATGAAAACAGAACGGAGAAAACACGAGAGCCAAGAAACGAAGCGACGGGAGTCTGGAGAGAAAAATGCAAAAGATGAGCATATTGCAGGTGAGTAGCCAAATTCTCCTTATGCAATATGGAGCGTTTATTGGAGTGGGTCTTGGGAGAATTTGGTTTGTTGTCAGTACCATTTGCTCATACCGATCACTCCTTCTGGATTCATCGTTGTGATCCGTTTTCCTGTAAGCCAAAGAAGTCGATAGAAATATTTTAACTTTCAGTACTTTAAGTACCGGGTTTTTGGTGAGTTTTCGACATTTGTACTAAAGATTATCACAAATTTTTCCTCAAAGTCATTGATGAGACAGTCTGAAACTAACAGAATAACAAATAACTCATTTGAAACCAACAGAGAATGATTCTGTCAGGAATGCTCTTTAGTAACTCTTAACTCATACCTGTTGTCTTAGCAACAGATGATTCTACTTCTCAAAGACCTCTTGAGAACGACTTCTCCGACAGAGCCCCTTTAAAAAGTACTGAATGGGACAGCGACTGGGACAGTGATTTTAGTCTACATGTCAAACCGCTTAGCGACTTAAGTGCGTCGAGTAGTGACGAGTCCCAGTGGGAGCCCAGGAACCAAACGAGACCAGCGAATAATGAAAGTAGAGTCCGAAAGAGATCTGACAAAACCGTGACAAATGCTGCGAGAAGAAAAGAGAGTAAGCTGGGCACTACAGAACAGCGTAAAGGCTCTGAGATTGAAAGAACCTTAGAAGGCAGAACTCGGAGGAGTATTGGTGGAGAAGACTATCCTAGAGAAAGACGAGATAAAAGGCCAACAGTTAAACCCATTCCAAAAATCGGTCAAGGTATTTTTTTTAAATATACAATTCTCCCTTCGTGTTCAAATAGATCACCTTTCTTTCTTGTTATGTCTGGAAAAGGCCAACGCCACTAACTTTCGAAATATTTCCAAAGCTTAGAGAGCGAAGTCATGCCTGTAGCTGTGCAAAAAAATTGCCAAAAAAATTTTTTGTGCAGGGGTCTCATAAACAAGAAAAGTTACTTGATAAACGGAGAAAATTACCTTTCCCGAGTGGCTGCAAAGGAAATCTTATAGGGTCTATCTGGGGGATAGATACAAAAAAATATTGATATGAGTCAACGTATGCCACAGAGGGCTTCTCCCGTGCAATCCCAAGGAAAAGCATAATGAAAGCTAACGTGTGTAGGCGCGGAGGGGCTGGGTTGGGCTGGTCCAGGAAAAGCCGTCTGGTCCTGCACTCGAACGGATCTGTTGCATTTCCGCGAACGTTAGTTCTAATAGTGTGGACTTAAACTTAAAATGAGACAGAATGAAAAAATAAGTTGTGTTTTTCAATGATTTTGGAGTCTCATGTTCAGAGGAAAGAGACAAAACCCGTTTACTGTACAATCGTTTTGGCAGTTGTTCAGCGTACGGCCTTTTGATTTATGTAATGGTATCCTTGTAAGGTTAAACAATTACATCATTTTATTTCCGTTCAGCCTTAGAACTCAGTCAAAAAGAACATAATATTATCCACCTAACACATCAGAAATAAAAAATCAATTCCAATTTTACATTTTTTCTTCAAGATTCAGACTCAGATGAGGTTCATTTCCGTCCCAGGCCCCGCGCTTTCCGGGGCGACGACGAATTAAGCGAGAGCGACATGAATTTCTTCAAACAACAGTTCCAAGCCCCTAACTCAAGCAGGGACCATAATAAAGGCATCAGCCAAGAAAGTCCTGTTGGCTGTAAAGGCATTAATTGCTATCGCTGTTCGTCCTTCATCCCTGAGTGCGAAGGCATTTGTTCCATGTGCGGTACTTTATGTCAGCGGTCAGGGGGACCGTGCAAGGCTTGTCGGGATATCTGCGAGAGATGCGGCAAGCCAAGGTACAAGTGTTCATCAGCTGATGAGAGACTAGAAACTAGTGACGAGGAGAGTGAGGGGAAAGAGGAGCACTTTGATGCAGAAGGTATGTCGATCGTGGTTAGTTGTCTGTGGTAGAAATTTCATGAAATCTTACACTAAGTAAAAAAAAGTTCATTCAGAAGCGTTTAATATTCACTTAATTTTCCCTGAGTTATTCCCTGCTAGCAATCGATGAGTGCTTCGTCTGGGATCCTAACATTCTGTAAAAGGACTTTCAGTAAATTACACAAAGCAGCCAAAATGTGCATCTTTTAGCGCCCTGAAATCAGGCTCTGTAAAGGAAGGTCCCTGAATTAGCGGCATTAAAACCTTACCCTGCCTTTTTCCTTTATAACTATAAGCTTCGATGATCAAATAATTTTCAGCTTCCATGGAAAGCAATCTGGCATCACTCCTAATGTTAATATAAACTGTAGGAAATTCATGTACACTAAATGATAGCACTGTTTTTCTCCAGCTACTGAAACTGGACCGGAGATACCAGCACAAAGAACATCACCTTTCAGAGGTAACGAGATGGCAAGTAGCTCTGACACAGGATCGGTTGCCGGTTGCAGTTTTGCTATGGTTTTCATTCACACACGTGCTGCAATTGTCTAGAAGACTAGCGCCATTCTTTCGAACCAGCCCACAAAACTGATCTTACACCAATCGCGACTTTATCACTCGAGTTTATCTGCGCTTGGAACTGGCTGCATAAATTAAGTTTAAGCTTCCAGTGTGTCACTATAAAATTTTCTTTTGCTTTGATAGGACGTTGCAATTACTTTGATTGTGATTTTAGTGCACACTCTTTTACTCCTTGGTTATTTTGTTGTCATTTTTTTTTAACTTTAAGGTCACATAAATAGTCCCGCATCGGCATCAGCTGAAGAAATGAATCGGGAGGAGAGTTTGATAATGATTGATAAAGAGGTCAGTAACTCAGATAAGGTAGCACATGGATTGCAAATACGTCTTCTTTATACTGAGTGTGATTTTCCGATATAAATGGTGAATCTTTAATAAGCGGACATCCTCGAGACCTTTCCAAGTGTCCGCTTTAGAGAGGTTTGTAAAAATTGC